GAAGAACATCACACCACACATTCTCTTTATAGTCAGTGGAGGAGATGGGTATGAGGTTGCGTTTCTTCACCTCTAAGGAAGTGGGTTGACTCAAGCTACATTGTAGGGACTAGGGTGAGGAATGACATACAAATTAAGCCTAGACACCATGTTGGAGGAGACAACATTGATACAACTACCATTATCCACGATGAATTTACATTTTTTATCTTTTATTTTTGTGTAGGTGTGAAAGATCGAGGTCCTATGCCATTCATATTGTAACAGGTTGTGATAGTGTATATCTCTCCACATAAATGAGAGAGTTGTCTACCCTCTGTACACAGTGGACAACATCAATGTTGTCATCCTTCTCAAAGAATTCACCTTCATCGTCAAACTGGTAAATTTGGTTCTGCTTCGGGCTCAAACTCATCATCAGCGACTTCTTCAACAATTGCGACCTTGTAAGGACTAGAACATTGGGAATAGATGTGCCCATACCCCTGACAACGGAAGCACTTGTTCCCTGGGTGAGATCGAGATGTATCTGGGGTTGGAGGTTTGCCTCTGAAGTTAGGATGCGATGGAGGAGGACCTGAGGGTTGCCTGCTAGCGCTCCCTAGGGTCGGCTGTGTGGTAGGGTGGTGTGGGACCAATCCATTTAAAGGTATGTAGTGAGGCCTAGCATCCTGGCGTCGACCAGGGTGTTGGGAATGGGTCTTCTCAAGGTTTAAGACTATAATGTTAGAACTCTTTAGTGTAGTGACACTTTGGGAAGATAACTCAATGAGAAGATCCTCACGCAACCTAGTATGAAACATTGACAAAATTTGAGTGGGGATAGTCGGGGTTTCCCCCTTGCAGCGAATCATGTAATAGTTAAAAGATGCAACATAGTCCTTTACGGGTTTACTATCTTGGGTAAGCCTATTCCACCTATCATGGAGCCTAGGAAAGTATGATGGAAAGAGGTGCTTTTTTTTTAGTTCGCGCTTCATAAAAGTCTAATCAGTAATAACGAACTCATTGTGTGACTCCTTAAGGCTCTCTAGATTTTCCCAATATTTGCTGGCCCTACCAGTGAGTTTCATCTCAACAAATATAATCTTTCTAGTCTCAGATATATTATATCATTTAAAGAAACTATCTATGCCCTTGATCCAATCCAGAAAGAGTTGGGGATCAAGAGTACTGTCAAAAGTATGAGCATCAACCTTAATATTTTTCAACAGAGGTATATCAGGGTCGTTTTAAGGTCATAACCATAGTGGTGGCTCGATAAGGGGCACGGGGGTGTCCCTCATCTGGTATGGTGTCATCCCCATACATGGAAGGAGGCCTAGAAGGTGTGTAAGGTGTTGGATGATTCCTGACTTGATCTAGTGTATCAAATCATTCCATTATTTGGCGACGGAGTTCAGCTATGTTGGCTTGATTTTTCCTAAGTTGTTGATTGATCGTGCTCATTTATCCTATCAGAAGATCTAAGGTCCAGTGAATTTGTTCAAGGTCCATCATATGTTTAAGGGTGACTCAGGATTAGGCAAGCAGGAAGAAAATAATATGATAACACCAACAAGTAATTTGATGCAGGTAAGATGCGATTTAGATCCTAAGACATGGAATAAATAAATCCTAATTTGCACCTAAATACAACCATGCTCTGATACCAAATAATGTAGGACTACATGCATAGGCAAATGCGATTGATTTGGAAGTTACACCTAGATGAGTAGAGCTTTGTAATTAATTAATTTCTCGCATTCTTAACAGATGTTTAAGCTAACTAGATAATGATTAAGATCAGGCAATTAATTACATGATAAGGATATGATCACAAAATGATCAAATTAAAATTATGTCATGCTAATGTAAGGCGTTCAAAGAGAATCCCTAAATTGAGGTGTTCAAAGAGAATCCCTAAATTAACATTTAAAGATCCACTCACACAATGTCTTGGTAGGGTTTTAAGCGGAGATGCTTTCACGATAAAACGATGCCACGGTTGAGGGAAGATAAATGGGTATAAGGGGGAGGGGGAAGAGTTTACCCGTAGGAAAAAGATACTAAACTCTGAGGGAAGGAGTGGGCCGACGACTATGGGAAAATAACTAGACGAACTTGAGATGAAGATAAACCACGAGCCTAGACGCTTCCTGCGGCTGATGGGTAGTGCTTTGCCCTCACCAAGGGACTTCAAACTCTCATAAGAACTCCCACAACTCTCTAAGAAACAAAATGCATAAAATTTTTTATCATAATAATCATTATAATCATCATCCTCTCCAAAGAGGGAGAGGGGTCTATAAATAGATGCAATACGATAACTTGTCCAATGACAAAAGTGCCCCCTTGGGTCACATAAGCATACTCCCTCAAGTGAGTGTAAAAATAGAAAAGATACATAATAAAATCAAATACAAATAGATACTAAAAAACAAAGTGGCCTAATCGTAGTCGTCAATCTTCTGCTCTTTCCCTGATAGACTTTCTACAGTTAAATGTCCTCATCAATGAGTGCCTAAATAGGTGTGCATGGCATAAACTTAAAAACCTTATAATCGAGTAATCATATGACTTGTTTTGAAAATTTAATTATAATCTAAGATAACTCAATATAGCAATTTAATTTTGCTACGAAAAATGGATTTGTGCAATGATAATTGTTGTCAATGCGAACGATTTTGTTTAATCAACAACCAACATGCATACGAAAGTAACCTCTATTATCACAAGCGTAGTCTTGATTGTGCATTCTCCCTTCTAAAACTATCTTTTACAAATTACTCTTTAACACATTCAATCTCTTAATGTGGTGACATTAATCTCGAATTTTTTGTCTTAGGGTGATTAGCAAACCCTTAAGAAAATTCTTAGAAAACATACAATTTTCATTATATATGAACTATGATTACATAAATATCTTTATCTTTTTTCATCACTTTCTCATTCAAAAGTATTATTCATTGCCACCAACACGATCACAATGTCACCACAATTGATATGTCATATTTAAATTAGTGATAAGGTTGTGCTAGTGGCCTCCGTCAAAAGCTATCAAGCCACTACTCTGATCATTTAGCAAGTATAACTGGATTATCTTCAGTATAGTACCCATCAGAGCCAGAGCTGCATAGTTTGCTAAGATGGAATACTTAGAACAATCTCCTTCATTTGCTTAGCTTATCAGAGTAGTCATCTTTAAATCTAAAGATATAGTCCAGTTTTAATCCATTGGAGGAATGGAGATTATGAACAAACAAAGCTGAGTTAAGGGTGAAATAAATTTGAAGAAAAAAAAGGAACCAGAGGAGGGGATACAAGCAAAATAAATTTGAAGTGGTATATCATTTTGGCCCACAACTACTAGAGTGGAAGAGAAGAAGTTTGCATTATTTTTTAAGGATGAAAAGTTATATTATCCAGGTCTCCTAGTATTCACTCTCTAAAAAATAAGAAATTGCAATAGTTGAGTTATCGAATATGAAGTATAAAAAAAATGAAGTATAAAGATCCTTTAGAAAGCTATTGATAGCAATGCATGAAAATCATCCAATCGGCGGAATTTACTGGATGATTTTTCAGCCGCAAATAGGTTTTTCGGCAGATTTTTTTCATTGGTAAAAAGTAGCGTAGGAAACTGAAACCGATGGCTTATTACTAGCGGTTAATCTGCCGGCATAACCGCTAGAAATTCCAGAGGTCCTTTGGCCGTCGAAAATGTCGTTGATATTTGATGAATTTCCTATAGTGTAGTGTGCATAGGGAGTATCTAACTTGAGGAAATGTGGAGGTAGATAATACTGTGTAGGGATATCTTATAATAATAAATGAGGTGATTCACATAGTTATCTTGAAAAAAACTAAATATAAGATAGCATGCATTAGATAAGGAGCAATATCCATAGTTTGCTAAGATGGAATACTTAAAAATCTCCTTCATTTTGCTTAGCGTATGAGAGTAGTCATCTTTAAATCTAAAGATATAGCCCAGTTTTAATCCATTGGAGGAATGGGGATAATGAACAAGCCACGATTACCTGTGCATTACCCTTCATGCTAACAGAACTTATAGATGCTGCCAATTATGTTGTCGCCTGCATATAATGCATGATGAGATGATGTTTGTGGAGACCATCATTGATAACATCATGGCACTTTCAGCTTTATGACTAATTGGTACCACCTCCGGTCTATTTTTATTGATAGCGCCAAATGTTTCTGTAGGCCAAATATCATGACTTTCACTCATGAGCTTTCACATTAAAAATTACTATGGGACTGCACTCTGTTTTTAGAATCTTAGAAGTAAATTAAGGCTAACATCATCTCCAACTGAACTACATATCACCGCATGCCATCTGCCATTCGCTGCAATCAAACTTCAAATCCCACGCTAAAATTCGGTAGGTGAATATTGCGACGCCAATATCAGCGTCAAACAATACGCCTACACCTAAAAACCCTGGCTTGCGAATTTACTTAAGGAGAACCGGAAAGAAAACAAAAGAGAAGAGATGGCCACCTTCACAGAAAGCGTGAATGAATTTTTCAGTTGGAGATGCCCTTAGGCACAATTTTTTTTTTTTAATATCTGCATATAATACAAATGATTCATCATTAACTTAATAAATTATTAATAAAAAAAATTGAATTGTCTTTAATAAGTTCTTTAGATTTGAATATTTCACATAAAAGTCACCAATTCTGAATATGCTGAAAAATAACAGATTTATTACCGTTTGATTGGGAGTAGAAACGAATGATTAGATCTGAAGAAGGATAACTTGGCATGTATAACTAATTAAGTATAATCAATCATCATTAATCTAATACCAACAACTTTTAAGCCTAATTCAACTATTTATAAAGACAATAAATGATATTATATAATTAAATTATAAAAGATTCTCATTCAAATGCTTTCAAAATTCTAATTATGATGTCATTAGATTTTACCTCCATAGAACGGAAGAAATTAATGAAGTTCTGAAATAGAAATTTTACGTTCTTGATTGTTTTTATATAATTTTTCATCTTACCATTTGGTGGATTTTAATTCCTCCAGTGGAAATGCAAAAGATCAAATGAGAACATAATAGGAAGAGACCACAAAGTTAAAAGAGGCAAGAGACAGAGATTGAGAGATGCTGTGTTCTACATATATAAACTCTGCGGCTATTTTTGTCTTCTCTGCACTCTTTATTAGGCTAAGCCTTGACCTCTCTCTCTCTCTCACTCTCTCTTTTCCTTTTAAAGCTCGCATAATCTCTTCGCCACTGTTCTGTTTCTTGTTCTATGTGGATTTCTGTACTGCGTATTCTGTTGTTACTGCACTACATCTAATGGCATCAGAGCCGTATGATATGAAGAAGAAGAAAGCCTTTGATTGATCGACTCATCGCTTGCTTGCTGGCTTGATCATTCCAACTTCTCTCCAATTTTCCTTAAGCAGAAGAGAAGGGACCTTCTCTAGCATGGCTTGTCACTCCGAAGTAAATGCTATAAAAGTAAAAACTTTGAAAAGAAAGATTAAAAAAAAAACACTGAACATGGGGGAACTATAATCTTCGACAATTCTGAAACTTGCCAACTACTCTCTTTTCAAATTTGTGCCAGTTTTTTTTTTCTTTCCTGAAAGAAAGCGCAATTATAAGATCATAATGTCAGAGAGAAAGAACATTATAATTTCTCCATTGGAAAAAGATGAAAAGGTTCTTACTTTGGTTGAGGTTGAGAGTGGCAGCCCTTCATAGACCAACTGCACCGGGACCGGATGAGAGCCTGAAAGAGAAAGTTTCCTTTAAAACTGGGATTTTCAATTGGTCTGATATATAGAAATATACACAGAATGGGATCAGACCTCGGCATCTGAAAGAAGCAAGATTTAAAGGAGGCCATGTTCTCAAGAGTAGAAGTGGCAGGCAGCAGGGTGGAAGCAAGGAGAGCAGAAGAAGCAGAGGCTGCTGCACCAGCTTCAGCCTCTGAGGTTCTTGAGAAAGAATCGGCAAAGGCGGACTTGGTCGGTGAAGCGAATGGGCTGTCAGGAAGATTGTGCTCCACGCTGCTGCAATGTAAATAATGGAGGAGATCAAGAAATAAAAAAAAAATCATAATCACCATCCATGGAAAGAAATGAAAGCTTGAAGACGAGATAGTAGGGGTGATATTGCAATTACATTAAAGTTTTAACCTTTTTTTTCATATCACATGTGAGATTGCCATCTTCCAGTCTCTCCTACTCTATAATGTGGATCTCAACAACCAGATCCAACCAAATCTCCACACCATTCCACCACCCTTATTTCAATCTCCACCTCTGTTTCTCCATCGCATTTAATGCACTAAAGAGTGGGGCTAGTATATAAGCAAGAATTACCTTTCTTCGTAGTCACCATCTTCTTTGGGACTCGTCTTTGTCTCTATCTCTTCCTGGTCTGCACGAGAAACGGCAGTAGCAGCGCCAGACCCAGTCCTTAGGCTTTTATCTATGCATAGTAAAGACAACCAACATTAACTCCTCTGTTATCTTAGTTTCATAAATTACAGACACTTCAACTCCAACAAATAGCTTTCATACCTCCTTCTGAAGTGGTTGTTGAAAGAACATTTGTGATCGGAAATGGTGATGAAGTAGAAACAGCAACTGCTGAGGTGGAGATGGCCGAGTTCCGCTTGAAGTCAAGGAGCTGAAGTCCCATGAACCGACGCTGCTGTAACTCGATGGCTTGTTGAAGCTCGTGATGCTCCTCTAGTTTTCTTCTAAGCATAGCATCCTGGTTGCTCCCAGCATAAAGCATTCTCGCTCCTGAAATAGAGCATAGACTGAATTATTCACTGAAACAAGGCTAAGATGAGACAGATTGTGAAGTGCCATGGAAGAAAAGTTGAGCAATTTATGCTAACCGAGCTGCTGCAGGTCAAAGGGATCTCTGGAATCTAGACTAGATGGAGTGTTACAACCGGAGAAATCCCCCCTATCAACTGGCTTCCTGCTCAAGAGGACGAAGCGAAAAGAAGAACACAAGTCACAAATCATCAACTTTAGGATTTCGCAGCTAATATTTGAAAGAGAGAGAGTGTGTGCCTGTACTTGTCGGGGACTTTTCCCTTCTCCTTATACGGCTTGACGAGAACTCGGGCGTCACAGACGAAATGAGGGTTGCCTTTGGCGAGGATCAACTTCACAGTCTCGGGGTAAACGAAGGTGACGAACCCAAACATTCTCTTCTGCTGGTATGGGATGCGCACGTCCTGCACAGGTCCATAGATGCTGCGAGAACGAAGCCAAGATAATTCTTTTTTTTTTTTTATCATAGACGAGATGCAGAAAGAGGAGCATACAGAGTAAAAACGAACCTGAAGTAGTTTGAGACGTCTTCCTCCCGAAAAGTACTGTCCGCAGGGAAGGTCAAGTAGATCTGCCTTGAACTAGGGTTCATCATGCCAGAAAAATCACTCCTTTCCATCCTTGGCCTTCCCATGAACTTATGCGGGTCATCCCCTCCAAGCATCAGCGCCGCCGCTGCTGCTGCAGCAACTGCCGCCCTGAAATTAGTCAAAATCTCGACTATGAGACCTAATTCATAATATGAAGGCAAACACTTAGTTAAGAAAAGGAGCAACCTTTGGCTCTCACTCTGCTGTTGCTGCAAGAGAAAGCTCATGCATTTACCATTCCCGGATGGCGACTGCGGTAAAGAAGACCCAGTAGGAGAGTAAGGAAACGCGCTCGCAGCAGATGCCATAAGTCGCTGGCTTTTTGAACGCAACAGCAACTCCTGCTCGATCGCCACATCCATTTTCGCCTCGTCGGCGAGGCCGTGGAGAAAGCGGCAACTACTTCCGTTTTTGCAGTACCCCCTCGCAAAGTATAGGCAAGGCTTCCAACCAAGTCCTGTCGGGTCAGAACCAAAGCATAGGTCGGAAATAGAGCAGTTTCGGCGTTGATTTCCACCGTTTGACACCGGAGAACCCCACCCCATCCCGTAAGAGAAGAGCTCGTCACCACCGGATGCTACAGGTTCGTTCAAGAATGAAAGCTGGTCGTGGAGGTGTATTTCGTCGATGAGCTCGTCACCTCCGGAGTGGATTTCGTCACCTGATCGGGAGAAGGGGGAGGATGGAGCCCATGAGGAAGGCGATGAGACTACAAGGGGCGCCGGGCGAACGAGAAGGCGGGAAGCAGAGTTCTGCCCAACGAGGTGGAAGGGGTTAGCCGTCGGTGCAGGTAGCGCAGGAGACGCCGGCATGGCGGCGGATGAGGATGGCGGAGGAAGAAAGCCAAGATCTTTCAGGGCGTTGGAAACGACGGATTGGAGAAGCGATTCGGGGCCAAAAGCCAAGCGGATCATCTCCTTCTCGCCATGGTCTTGAATTAACAGAAGCCCCATGATCTTCGCCGCGTTTTCTGGATCTATACTCTGTATCCTCGAAAATACGATTTTGGTCGCCTCGTACGCATCCATGGCGGAAGATCAGTTCACAAAGTTCGTGCCTTTCTTTTACTTGTTGCTATTATCTGGAGAAGGAAGAGAAAGGGAGTGCATGTGAGTTACCGGTGCGATAAAAAAAAAGGAGAAAGCGAGAAAGGAGGAAAAGGCAGGGGAGACGAAAAGAAAAGAGACGAAACCAAATTGCCTTGTTCAAGTAGGTCGCTGCGCCTATACTCTATTCCCCCTCTGTGAAACGCCGCAGGCAGCCCAAAACTCCCCTCTCTGGGTTTGCATCGCCTCTCTCTCTTCTCTCTTCTCTTTGCTTCTTCCGCCGGAGAAGCAGAGAGTGGGAAACTGCAAGTAGATCTGGATCCCTTCAAATAGGTCGCATTCCCCTCTACACCTGAAACCTCGCAACCTTCGTCTCTCTCTCTCTCTCTGCTTCCTTCCACTCTCCCGAGACAGTCAAGGTCAATGCCAAGCCTTTAGTTTGTTCTCTCTCTCTCTCTACTGATAAATTCCTTCAGCCTAAGCATGATTAAGCCACCGGAGTGGGCCAGAAGGAGCTGTGTCGTCTTGTTGCTGCGGTTCGAGTGGTGTTGTTATTGAGGCCTGCGACAGCAGCTACGTGCTGTAGCCGTTGCTGTAGCCATTTCGATATTCTTAATTATGTCTCTTATAATTAGAGAGGGAGCTTATCTCAATTCAATTAGCAATAAATTAGTAGCTACGCTACATCACGCATGACAGCGACACAGTGGATTAGTTCTATAAGTGGCCTTTAAAAAGGAAATTATGACAGAGAAATGGAAGAGATAAGCTCCGCTCTCCATGCAGCCAGGGTGCAAGGAAGGTACGTGTTTAGGTTTCGGTAAATATACCTGTCGGTGACCGGAATCTCATTGGGGTTTTGGATTGGACGCGGGCAGAGTAAGGTGGGCCCGTGAGCGGGCGAAGGTGACGAGTCGGCTTTAAATCGGGGGAAGGGCGGAGCAGTACGCTCTGGTTTCAGAGCCGCACATGGGAGGTGCGGTCACCGGACTCGTCGTTATGCGTGTCGCACGTGCCCATGGATTCGCGCGTGCGAGCTCTGTGAGATGGGAATTTCTCTAATATTTTTTTTTTCTATCAATAAAAACAGAAAAATACAAAGTGGGATAATTGCAGAAAAGGGCACGTAAATGTGATAATTAAAAGCAGGGGAAGGCTGGCTTTGTTTAGTATATTTGTCACGTGAGGGATAAGGAAGGCTTTTGATCTCCAACACTGTTAATCGCCTAACGTAGACCGGACTGCATGCATCGTATAGCGACGACATACGCTAAAGTATTGAGAAATGATAGCGATATCAAAATTATTGAATAGCAAAGTCCTACATGAGGTTCTAGTTGGGTACTCATATTTTACTCGGACGGGCTTCGCCCACCCACGCCCACTCACGGTGACTTTCGGGATGCCGTACCCACCTATACCCACACACTTTCCATATTTTTTGAATACAGTCTGCCACGGATTGATGGTCTTAAGGCTTGTTGCCCTTTGCTCTAATTGCAAACTTTCAAGCCGCATATCAGAATTTATTGTAATCGCAGCGTGGTTAAGTGTTGCACACTACGTAGTGAGGATTGCAGTAATATAAGATATATGGTGATTAGCAATGTAAATCGATTTATCCTTCGATGTTGAGTACCCACCCATACCCACTCATAAGGCCATGGGCATACCCATACTCATCCCACAAGGTCATGGGTGTACCCATACCCACCCATACCCAGGTACATGGGTGGGTGTGGGTATGAGTACCGAATGCAGGGCTATGTTGAATAGCTCATATCAATATTATAATCTACTTAGTCTTAATTAAAATTATACAATAGTTTAGATTGTTATTTTAAACTTATTAAACTAAACTCAATAATCGTGATGATTAGTTAATGATTTAAAATCTTATATAAAAATTTGATCGCAAGTCTAATATAGTATGGCATCATAAAATGTTGTTACAATAGTAGTGGGAGGATCTCGATCTCATATATGAAGGTACTCACTTATTAGTGGTGATGTTTAGAGTGTATGTGGATGGAGAGTTGTGATTTAGTTGTGGATTGGTTGGGGTTGGAACTTATGAGGGAAAATAATGGAGGATAAGTACTTGGATGAAAAAGAGAGTGGAGGATTGATCAGTAAGCCTTGATAAGTGTTTGAATGAATGTGATAAAAGATATTAAGGGCTTCGGGTTATGTGAAAGAAGTGGAAAGGCTTATAGAGCAGGTTTAGAGTTGTTAAAAGGCTTACATAATAGGTATCTTCCTACAAACTCATATCATTCTTTAACCCTTCAAAATAGCCCTTATCCTTAAGGTTGTAATGTATATAGGGTATATACATGAATCTAGGTTTTTACTTAATGAGCACTCGTGTTGAGTAATATATGATGGGCAGGCTCTTAGATAAGTAAGACTATTGAATACTAGTCGATCATATTAATTTGCCATTTATTACAGAATGATTGACACAAATGAGGCCCTTTATTGGAGGGAAGACATTGGCTTGATGTAAACAATATACATCATATAGAGTATGTTACATGGTAGAAATAGGAAGAATCACTATTGATATGTTCGTTTGGTCGGAAGGACCATGGTCGGTGGGCGACAGAGGTCGGAAGGATCGTTGTTTGGCAACGGAGGTCGAATGAACCGTAGTCGGCGGTTGACAGAGGTCTGAAGGACCGTAGGTCGGAAGGATCGTTGCCAGAAAACGGAGGTAAGAAGGACCGTAGTTGGCGATTGATGAGGTCATAAAAACCGTTGTTTGGTGACGAAGGTTGGAATGACCGTTGTCTAGCAACATATCAGAAGGTCCGTACTCGACAGGAAACGGAGGTCCGGAAGACCATAGTCAACGGGAGATGGAAGTTAGAAGGATTGTTGTCTCACGATAGAAGTTAGAAGGCCTATTGACGGAAGGAAGTTCGACGACAGTCGGTGGTCAAGGAGGAGTCTGGTGGCAAAAAAAACTCTTCATTCTCTTCTTTCTCTTCTTGCTTGCGTCCCTCCTTATTCCCCCTAATGAGAAATGAGAAGTCTATTTATAGTTTTATGAGAGTGACATGACCAATAAATAGGAAGAAGATCAAGAGTAAATTGTGAGTGGTTTGAATGGACGGCCAATGTTGAATCCCTCGATCATGGAGCATTTACTGGACATTTGAATGTCTTAATGATATCATAATTCAATGTTCTTGGGCTTGTTGGATCCATCTCGTCCAACCATTCGATTCCATTATATGCATGTCACTTTTGAAAAATGTTTGTTAATCTAAATTATGGATTGAAGCTTTCAAATGCACTTCAAGTACTTGGTTTGTACTCATTTGGGCTCATATTGAGCCAAATTTGGTGTCATTGAGTTTGTACTTTCGAGATGTTCAGTCCGACTATAAGTTTACTAAAATCGGAGTTCATATGGTCTACAATTTAATTTGCGATGTTTCTAACTTGATTTATCCTTGATATTTGTGCCCAATCAACATAATTTTTTTTCTAATATTATCAATCGCAACTTCTGCCCACCACCGACTGACACCGTTCTTCCACTCGGCCATCATCTATGGTCCTTCCGACCTCCATCGTTCGCCGACTACGATCCTTTCGACCTCCGTCGCCAGCTAACTACGGTTCTTTCGACCTCCTTTATCAGACAATGGTCCTTCCGACCTTCATCGCCCGATCCTTTCGACCTTCATCGCCCACTGACTATGGTCTTTCTGACTAAACGAACATGTTAATAGTGATTCTTCACATTTCCACCATGTACCATACTCTATATGATGTATATTTATTACATCAAGTCAATGCCTTCCCTCCAATGAAGGATCTAATTTGTAATCAACTGCAAATATTAGTGGATTCATTCAAATTGAGCTAGGCCCTATTAGTGGATTTATTTGTAGTATGTTGGATCTTTGTACAAAATTAAGAAGTTAAAATTTATATTTCTCTACTACAGGGAATATTCAAAGCTGCAGCACTAATAATTCTTAATTCCTAATGTTTATAAAATAAATATTTAGTTGATGCATTTTAATATTAGTGTGTAATGTAAGAAAATAATGGATGAATATTATATATTTTAATAATACAACTTAAAAATAATATTTAAACATATTAATTTAATAATTAATAAGAATATTTTTTCACTACAAAAAGTCTATGCTTGGCATCGATGAGAGTTCTGCTTACGCCATAGTCATACACTCATACTAATGATTAATCTTTGATTGATGGATAGCCCGTGACATATATTATCGAAGAACTAATACAAAATATGACAACAGTGCCTTGTTTTTTTTTTTAATCATGCTTGCATTAAAGCATTCTAATAAGACAAAGTCTTAAAACAGATATTAATTGTAATTAATACTTTAATGACATTCAATTAACTAAAACTTCTTCAGCTAAGCAGTTAATAAATATCCTTCAAACGATAGTCTAATATAGAAAGAAACTCTTACAAAATCAGTGCGTGGGTTGTGCTCTTCCTATTATTTTATCATCATTAATTACAACTTCTTTGTATAGACATTTTGGTATGTAAGCTTTAAATTCAAGTCCTCTTCATTGATAGTCAAAACTCTCAACGAATAGATCAAGACAAGCTGTGTACTTCCTCCTAACCACACGGCATATATCTTACATGACCTAATTCCAACCTTTAATATAACTCCGATGGGCCTTTAATTTTGCATCATTGGTGGATTGCTCTTATCCAGAAGAGCAAATCCTTACAAAGCAACTATCACTGTTGAAAACAAAGAGGGATCAATTTGAGGCTTCGTTTGGGAAATTTTTATTACTGTTTTCTAAAATAGCTTCTTAGTACAAAAAGTTTTTTTGTGCTAAAATGATATTTTAAAAAGTAAAAAAATTGTCCCAAACTAAGCCTAAGTCTTTTAATTAATGTAGCATTTTAGTAGATCTTACTAAAAAAAGTGAAAACAAACTTCCTAAAATTTATTACTAGACATTATTTATGTATATTCTTGACATATTTAGTAGATAAATTATTGACATGGGGAATTTGAATGCTCTAAACCTTATTTAGATCTTCTATTGAGTGTCTTCGGTGTTCTAATGATCTAACTTCTCTTACGCTATTTTGATTTTCTGATCTTCTTAGTTAGCAAAAGAGGGATTGTGTCGACCATCTTCTAAAGCCCAATAACTAATAGCTACAATTGTTTATTGTTTGATGCATGCACGACGCCGTCAATTAACACTAGTGTCAAATGTCCATCCTCAAGTCTTAGGTTAACAGGAATACTAGACGTTCGCTACTACATGTAGTCCAATGCTCGACCCTAATCGATATTGATACTTGTTGACATCTATCATCCAACGCCCATTGATTGTTGTTGTTAAGTTGTCATTGTCTAACCGTGCACCACCCACTTTCTACCATCAATGCTATCATTGATCATTCCCACTATATAAAGCCTTTATA